CATATGTCAGTTTAGATTCCAGAACAGCCGTCGTAGTCTCGTGGGCTCTTCACGGGTCTCTTGAGAAGCAGGGCTTTGTTTGGACCCAAAGCTAGGGAATTTCCATCCACATCTTCACATTGTACGAGGTCCATCAACCTCAGTCTTGCAGATGCCCGCCATGATCCGCCGAGACTCGTGCTTGACAAACACATCCTTAGATGTTGACTCGTGCTTGACAAACACATGTTTGACTCGTGTTTTCTGAGATGGTTCCGAACTCGGGGAACGTCAAGAGGGCGCCCTCTTCCCTCTTCCGAGGGCGCTTGTGGATGGCATGCACGAACAGGACCAACATCGGTCAGAGTCTCAAGTGGGCGGCTCGGGTCTCTTCGGGGATCCGAAGCACCCACTTAAGAACCGACGCCCTGGGCCACCGAGACCTGAGTTCACCATGTCAGGCCGGAGAGGTAAAATCGTCTTCCAGCCTGGTCCATGCCATCAGGTTCCATGTGGGTCCCGGAGCCCGGGTGTAGTTCTCTGAAAAGGACTTGGCATGTTCGCCCGCCGGTTGAACCAGAAACCTACGCTCAGACTCATGAGTCCACAATTTTGTTCGTGCCAAGACCGTGAAGAGGCCCAAATGCCAGTAAGCCGACCAGTTCAAAGCAGCAGTCGTCTAGTATATACATCCAAATTTCTTCCGACAAAGAACCGTATCTATCCAACAAACCTACTGCACATGTTACTGTAGTTAATCCACACCATTTTTATACGATATTGCACCCACACACACACATCAACTTTGCACCAAGGAAATGTTTCCGCTCAGTGGCCGCCGTTTCATCCAAGTGCTTTATATTGTATAGAGTTATGTATAACATATCCCTGCTGACCCGGGAGACTGGTTTAACTAGTACACGCCGACATGGACGGCTTAAACTGCCTAACCCTGCTCACCCGCTCTCCGAGCACTTTTTCTAAGCATTGCTCCGATCACCGCTTCCACGCCGCCTCCATGTCGATCCTGCAACGTATATGACACTGTTAACGTGCTTTTCAGAAACGCAAACTTTGTCTTCCAATATCGTTAACATATTTTGCGTGGAGCTTGTCTCAAAAAACTCGGTCCTCCGCATGCGCTTCTTTGCCACCTTCAGCCTCAAGCGCGCCGCTTTCATCAAGTAGCTCTCGCACTGCTGGCCCGAAACGTGTCTGAGACCTGGCTCATGGCATGTATGTGTATACGGTCGACATCGACGTCATGTTAGATTCGGCGGCGACGACCCATGGGCACTAGAAACTCTTTCGAAGAGCACGCTTCATAGTGCTTCATCTCCAGATCCAATCGCCGTGTCCATCGAGCGACGACCGTGGTGAGGAAAAAAGGGATCATGCATGTCCCTGTGGATGTACGCTAGTGGCTTTTAGATGCTGTGTTGGATCCAGATGTCCTGATCCTGTGCCCCTAGATGGTTGGTTTCCTGTGCAATTTGCTGGTTGGTGTCTTCGAAAGTTGGTTGAGCTTTTGTAAGGTTTCCACGATGGAAGCATCCACACCCTGTCGAAAGGTTCCCCAACACTTGCTCAGAATGGTGTGGGTCGCAACTTTTTGGGAGGATGGTTCTGTCCCCCACATACCTCCTGAGCGGGAATTTTGGATCCATAGGGAGGGAAGTGTCTAGACAAGATCTCTTCCGGGCATGGTATCATGACAAATGAGTACTTTTACAGGTGCATAATGTTGATCATACCTGTATGGCACCTGTGCCATGCACGCCCACCTGAACCCCTCCACTGCAACGAAGGACCGATCCGACGTTTCCGGGCATGGTTTTCAGGTGATCCCAACCCTGAATCCCTGTGAACCAAATGGTTGACATATCATGGTCTACTTAGAGGTGCTTATAGACAAGTAAAGTACGATCTTTTAAAGTCAAGTACGTTCATATGAATGAATTGCAAACGAACAAGTTTAACGAGTACTTTGGTGTGTGTGTGTGTGTCAACCCCTGTTTCCAAGGGCACTAATCTAGCTACTTACGCTCGCTGACCTGAAGCACTGTACAGCAACTCAGCAGGGGGGCAGTGAATCTCATTCCATCCACTGCCCAAAGAAGACGGTGGTTTGAGATTGTGAAGCGAGAAGGGACGCCTTCTTGTGTACCTGCAATTTTTAATATACATTAAAGAGCTAATGCATCTTGTTGACACATTCAAGTGAGCGGACTCTTCACTTCATACGGTGAAGTCAAGTGCTACGTATTCACCTAAAGTGCTAATGCTCACCGCGAATAGCCTGAAGGCAAGCTCCACGGAGCAACCTTCTCAAGTGTGTGCGTTGTGTTGTGGTCGTCTTTCTTTGCAAGCATCTGGCGATAAGGGAACTTGAAGCCCAGGAAGCAGGTCTCCAAGTTGTATCCAGGGCAAATGCATGCCATTGCCTTGAAGCTCCTGAGCTCAACAAACGTGCTGCTGCAAGAAAGGTGACTGAATTGCTGTGTCTGATAGAGCTGGGACATTGCTGTGTCCCGAAACAGGTTCGGTCGGTGCAAACGGATCCACATCCCAATAGTCAGATGAGGGTACACAAAGGTACGGAACCAAACAGTTCAAGTATCTCATTGGTGCATCAATTCAATTCTGGTTCCAACAAGAGTGTGTTATGAAACCCTGGGTCCCGGGGTCAAGGTAAAAGCATCAAGAACATGTCCTTTGTTGCAAGGGCCTCCACCACTCCTTGCATGCAATCCGCAAAGGTTGCTTATACTATTCTGATCTATAGAATCTGAGTCTATATATCATCCACGAACCAGCCATGTGTGGAATACTTACTATATTCACCCCATTTATGAACCCAATGTAAGTAACTATTCCATACATGGATGGTCTGGGATCAGTTGATTTGTTTTTGCTTTCTTGATGGTCTGGATCATGGATGGTCTTCACTTTCTTCTGAAAGTCTCTCCACACTTTGAAGACTTGAACTCTACTTCAGAACTCAAAGGCAGAAACAACTGCTGCCCTTTGTGTTCTTCTTTCCCTCCATGACCTTCGTGTGACCTCGTGTAGAGCCATAATCCTTAATACAGTACCATTCCTCCAAAGGAGTGGGAGGAGGGGCAGGGCCTGACACACCAACACGGGGCCTCCAACCATCTGGTCAATTGTGGTTCCGCTGCGTTCCGCTGCGGAACGCGCTTCGTTCGGACGACCGATGCTGTCGACGATCTTTCTGGGTCGGACCGATGTTTCGTACACCTATTTTGAGGAGTAACTGTGGGTATTGCTTTTGCTGGGTTCTTTTCGGGGACGACTTGAAAAACAGTACATTCAACTACTGCATGAGTCACTTGGTAGGTAGCGGATTGGGATTGGTAGCTACGATGTAGGCACAACACAATTGACTTCAAACTCCCCTGACTTCATAGAAATGATCACTTCTGGTACCCTTGACGTCATTCAAGGTTTCTGGGACTTGGTCTTCTCTTTGGTGACCAGTGCTTGCATCAGGCAAAAAAGGTCCCAGGTCTCAGATGTTGCCCAAATAAATGTTCTACACAAACAACTACAACATGTATACATATATATATAGGTAGCTAGACAAGTGAGTATTTCACTGGTCTTTCTGCCATCATGTTTATGCCCCGAAGTTCCATCACCAAGCCACGGTGCAGTCTCGTCGCCCTGCGCTCTGCGGCGGTCGAACTTGCCTTGGCCTTCGATGGGGAGCTTACCTTGGTCAAGGCCAATCTGGGCTAAGTCGATGTGGCATGGGCCAGATGCGGCGAAGCAAGATGAAGTCTGGTATCACCCAAATCTTGGATTCATGAATATTATGGGCCTTGAGTTCCTCTTCAAGGTGGATCCTATATAATTCCTATATATATATGTATAGCACTCTGAAATTTTGGCCCCGCATGTGTTGAACATGTTTGAAGCATAACAGACTGAGCCGATTGAGCCACCCAGCCACCCAGTGTGAACCACGTGTCTGTGTGATCCCATATTATCCGCCTCCAGCTGTGTGATGTGTTCGTGCCGCCCAAAGAACTGCCAGAAGAGAAGCCAATCCAGAAAAGAGCTGCCTTTGGCAACGTCTCCTGTGGCCGGGGCGTTGCAGTCAGTTCTTCTGTGCTGTTCGACCTGTTCTTGAGTGAAGACTGCATTGTGAATCATGGTAGATGTGCACTAGTTGGGTCAAGCTCTGAAATTTGCATAAGGCAGAAGGTGGTATTCTTCACCTGCATGGTGTGGTGGATTTTTTGGATGAATGCTCCTATGAGACACATCTATCTCGTGTTCATTTGTTGTTGGGTCGTCCAATGCAAACTCTGGATATGATATGATATCTCACCCCCCAATGCCTGAAGAGGTTTTAGATGGCTTTATAATCCATGTCATTAGTTGTTTAATAAAGAGTCTACCTGTATCCACCACATGGTATCCCAAATGGCCTGAACCGCCAGAAGGATCTGCTCGCTGTCGTCCTGCGCGACGCAAGCCCTCATGGATCTTCATGGATTTTCTGCACTCGAAAGGGACGTTCACCCTGAGTGGAATCAACCTGGAAGCTGCAAATCAAAAACTTGATGCAATGGCATCACTGACTAATCGCTTGGAGTGTGTTGTTTGTCTTCGCTCAATATATGTGTGACAAGTCTTTCTTGTTTCGTCATGGGTTCAAATCACGCCCGCATCAACGCTTTGAAAAGGCAGTTTGCCTACTTCAGAAGGTTGCTGCAGTTTAAAGCTTAAACATCGTAGCATGCAGAATGGTAAAGATTTGTTGACTATGATTCTTGATTATCCACCTTAGATGCTTGGTCTTGTTTCAACCTATGGCAAGTTGACGATTGCTACTGTTTTTCGTTTGACTTCAACTATCCGCAGTTGATGCAGAAAGGCATCCAAACTGCTGCATAGTGAAGAATCCTGCATGGACCACAACTCCATGAACCTGCTCCATCCTGCATTATACTGATACTGCTCCCCTGAGTCTGTCTTGTTCCCCTGTCTTGTTACTGCCAACCTCTCCAGAAAAACCATCCCAACCTACACCGGAAACGCCACGTGTTTCCGGGCCGGCTTCCACCGGCTTCCACCGGAAAGGTCCACTCGCCCGGTCGGTCCGAATCGCCGAAGAGGTTCCAGCGAGGGCTCTTCAAAGGCTGTGCGTGGCCCCGGCGCTCGATGACCTGAGCCGAAGAGGCTGTGCCAGTGGAGCCGAACGGAGTGCCAGTGCGACGGGAGTGGCCAAGTGCCAAATGCGGCGGGTTACGGATTTAGACATCGTTAGACATCGTGATGATAACTAGATTCTTGGCATACAACAAAGAACACGAAATGAGGTAAAGAGCCTGTAGGTGCTTCAAACCAGGGCTCCCAAGTCTTCGCCTCTTATGAATTGTGGGAGAAAGTAAGTAACGGTGAAACACTTCCACCCCCAGCATGGTGTTCTTCCCAGCAGCCACCACGCGGAAGCCTCTGTCCACGGCCCGTCGCAGAAAGGAAGAGCCCGGCACGTCTTGCGCAGTGCAGGTCCTGAAATTTGGTGCAAGAAGGGTAGAGACCCGCCCACCAAGGAGTTTGTAGGCCTAGATCCTCAAGGCATCTCCAGCCCCGCAAATCATCTCGAACATCTATAGAAACCTGCATTTTGGCATCGATTGTATGTCTTTTCTGTTCTCACGCTGTACACATGGACCACGAGCCAAACACGGGGTCTGTAAAGGCCTCGTCCATGGCCTGGCCACCTTCCAACGCTCGGTTTCCTTGAGTGGTCCAACGCTGAGCTTCGGCCCCCACCCGAAGAAACCCAAACAACCGGCAACATAGTGCGGGTCGGTCGTGACCAGGACTAGCTTTTGGAAGCATGGACACCTCAAGAGGCCGAAAAGGGTCCCTTATGGTCCCTTCAGAGGCATCGAGTATCCTCGACCAAGCATCAAGCCCGGCTCCACCAGGATTGTTGGGGCATCCAATCGAAGCTTCGAGGACCTGGCGAAGCGCTCGGTGGTCTTCGCATCAACACGTCGACGCACGGAGCGGTCGGTCACTGGTCCGGTCGGTCGCTGGCGGGACACGCTGCCGTCGACGCAAGAGATCAGGACCGAACCAGCCCTGAACTGATCGGGAAAAATCTGCTAGTCCCACTGGGGTTTGGATGCCTTCGCTTTCTTCTGGGCATAGTCTAGTTTACGACTCAGTCTGAGAGAAACATACATTTCTTCTTTGGCCTTTACTCTGACCTGCTTGACACATCGATCCGCACAAAAAGCAACATCAAACCGCATCAATACTCATCTCTAACGCCGGTGAGGGATTCACACAGCACTGTTCCTTGAGGCGGGTCCCCATGGGCCGCCACGGGGTCCAAAAACATGTTGTGGGTGAACAGTGAAGCAACAAAAGGTATAACGTAATAAAGAGATAATGATATGATTATCTAATGCTTCCAAGAATCGTGGAAGGAAAAAAGTTCAAGATCACCTCATCTTCCATACAACGCCTTGGGCAAAGGACGACAATGGACCGCGAAATCTACGTTGTGCATTGACTGATTGGGCCAAGGAAAGGGAGTGAACAACAAGAAATCATGCAGCAAGTGGAACAAAAAGAACGCATGTGGTTGAAGTTCATCTCTCGTGTATAGTCTATAGTCTATTTGCTCAGGGCGGTGGCGACCACGCCAAGTCACGGATTTGTCTCACTCTCATCTTTTGTCTTGTCCTCCAGGCTCAACACAAAAGGGAAGGGTATGATTTAGTAGCAAAAAGGGAACAAGTGCAATAAGGATTGGACACAGGATGCCCTCGCCGAAGACTACAAACCAAATGAAATTAGGGATGCATGAGGCTATAGGTGTTGGATGGCCGTCGTGTCGCATTTGGGGCACATCACACTTGTGTTGAGCCATGTAGGACTCTACCCAGCCTCAAATCACCGTACTATTGACATACTTGCCGAGCTCCTTGCAAAAATGTCGGAGGTCTCCCTATTAAACCCTAGGGCTCCAACCACATCCTCAGGTGGTTGGAGCCCTGGGGAACATACTCACATGATCACCCATCTCAAACCTCCGGGAATCCAGACATTCGATGTTTCAGCTGACGTTTCACCCTCCCGGATCGATCCGTCCACGGACCAAGAGGCAAAGCTTGGAGGCTTGGAGCCTTGCGGTTCCAAACTCATCCCAAAACGGATTCCCCGGCGCAGCTACCATTCACCAAAGACCATTCACCCGATCCACAAGACCATAGCGCCTAGCTAGGCTCCAAATCAAAACCCCCACTCGAGTGGTGTGCCAATCGCTATACACGCCTATAGCCTAGCTATGGCCTTCGAGTCGGGCCGCCGAACTGCACCCGGCAAGGGCGTGGAATGCTGCTCCGAACTGCCCCTTCACCGATGGCGGTAGGTCTCAGACGAGGGGTTGCCAAACATCTGTCAACAGTCCGACGTTCCCACGTCAGAAGTGGAAGTGGAAACCACCCTGTCACTTGAAGGAAAAGAAACCGTGCAAGGGTCCATTGTCACATTTGCCACTTTCATGTGAGTGAGTCCGTGGGTATAATTCCCGCTTTGCTGTGGCCGGAAAGCCCAAAAACCGCTTCTTCCCGCCTACCCTTCTTCTCGTGTCCTTGAGACCGCGCACGGTCAGGTAACTCTTCTCAAAGTCCAAAGGTTGGAACTTGGCGGAGAACCTGGGGGGGTACCAGCGATGGCGGGCTGTGAATCACCATACTATGTCGTCATCCTGCCCGACGACCTACTAACTACTAAAGAAAGCAAATGTTTGAGGCAAACAGTACTGAAAAAGGTTGGTATTGTAGGTAGGTGAACATCCGAGGGATTTGTGGCATCGTCCATCTGTGAAATGTGTAATCCGTCAACATCAAGATCCTATCTCTCTATCTATCTATATATATATATATGTTACCCCCCTGAGATCCACTTTTGATGTTCTTCCTAAGGTCCTAAGACATGCATGGTCAAACTCACTGCATACTTCAAGGAAGTATGCAGTGAGTTTAAGTGTGCAAAGTTGGCAAGCAAACTTTGCCAGCGTACTGACGTGCACTTGCATATATGGAAGCAAACTTGCACTGGATGCAAGGAGACTTTAGAAGGCATGCACTAAGAATGAAGTGACCCACTGTAGATGCTGTAGAGGAACAAGGTTTTATAGCTGACTTCCAATGTTTTGGGACCTGTACTCGACCTTTATCCAGAGACCTTATATCCAGAGATCCGAAAAGCTGAAGTGAAAGCTTTGAGAAATCCTCTTTAAAACGACGTGATCGTTCCCAGAGACGGAACTGAAATAGATGTTTTACGTTTTTTATTACTTAAACCATCTTAAATCCAGTTCACTTTGAGTGTTAAGTAAACGTAACTTAGAGTTTCAATGGTAATCAATTAGCATTAGACTTCACTTAGACCTCAATTAAACTTTAATTAGATTTCAATGAGAGTAAAGAACGAGACGAATAGGCTTAAGGATCAAACAAAACTTCTTCGATCAGTGGGCTTTCATTGAACTTCCATGGATGTCCAGTCGGTCTCCTTTCTTTGCCATGCAAGCCCACGCAGCTCCCAGGCAGAACAGCCAGCCTCCGCACACCCAACCTGTGACCCCAAAAGCGAGACCGTGTCCGACGCACCGGACAGGGGCTCAGATCAAGCCACGCTCCGATCCCGCACACGTCCAAGGTTCCAACGCGAAAACCAGACAGATTAAGCTCAAGAAGTTGCATCCACTTAGTCTCAGTTCAGAAGTTGCTGGGATCCCAGGCAGATTGTAGAGCATCCATGGCATAAACTGCCAATTCCCGCCATAGGCCCAGACTGGTGGCTTCGGCGGCCGCTGAGCCGAAGGCATCTTCGAATAGACCCGACGCCTGGACGAAAGAACACACCGGCCTGGGCCGTGACCTGTTTGATTGCTTCGGTGACCTCGATAATGCCACATATCCACAGAACTTCAACATATCGAATTGAACTCAAACTAACAATAATATATCGAATTTGAACTTAGCCGTGGAATATCCATAGAATTGACTGAAGTCAAAATAACCATTGATGTCCAGAAGAATTTGGGTGTGTATTTGAATAGGGAGATTTTCCCACACCATGGCTGGGTGGACTGGTCTCCAAGCTTCGGAGATCTCCCGATTTTACACGACCGATAGCTGGGAATCACATTCTTGCCTGTTTAATGGAGATCATGATCTTGTGATTGTTCCCAAGCCATGAGCAAGTAGGAACAGATTGCAAAGCCCGAAAAGATTGGCCGACCGGCCGACCCTCTACCAACCTGTCACCCTCTCGCAACGCGTCCGTGCAAATGGTGGTTCACAACAGCCCAGAGCTGTGTACTTCCTTACGAGGCCATGTACTCACCCCAAAGCCTCACATTGAGCTATTCAAAAAGCTCTTTGCACGCGCTTGCAACAATGGAGGTCCCACTTCCTTGTTTTTGGTGTGGGCACTTGTAATTACCACATCAGTTGTGCTAGTAGTGAGTGTGTCCACAGCTCCCCCTGTTCGCCATCTGCTCCAGTTGATTCCAAGAAGCAAGGCTTCCCCGGTGCCAACATAGGCCTTCACCTGCTCGCGCCGCAGGGAGACGTAGAGGAATAGGCCAAGGCCTCGGCGATGTTGAAGACAGGACACGAGGGGCTATGAACTTTGAAGAAGCCCTCCAAACGAGAAATCATGTTGAGACGCAGCCAAGAACATGCCACGGTCACGCATGCCACATGTGAAGAATATATATATATATATACAATCTATACCTGAAGGATCCGAAGAACTTGTTGTCCTGCAAATACCATTCTTGTTGTGGGAATCCGGATATCTACCAGCATCCGACTCGACTAGTCTACCAGCATCGTTTGCTTTTGACTGAACAGTGGCAGGGGTCACATCTCCGCCAGGTCTCCAAGTGCGGCGATCCACCCAGTTCTTCCCAGCAAATTTGCCACACCTCCTGGCGCGACGCAGGCGTTGGATGGCCTTGGGGTAGGCACATGGTCTGAGTGATCAGGTTCTTGCAAAGCTAGATGTCCTTAGATGTCCCTAGTATCAAGCTCTAGATGTCCCTGTGAGGGTTCCCAGGAGGGGCCAAGTATGGGCAATGACAATTGGTGGACTTTCTCCGTATTACCGATACTGTTGATCTAAGCATGATTCGTTTGCCACATAAACTCTAAAGTGGAGGGATCTCCTCGCTGTCGCAAGAATTCCTTTACCAAGAACGCAGGTCCTTGAATTGAACCGTGCTTGCTTACTGGACAGTTCTTCGATGCAGTTCAAGGCTTCTTTGTGAATCCTCCAAAGTGTCGACAGTCCAAACCAGTTTCTTCTTCCCCCAGGGAAAAGCCCGCCGTTTCCAAACGGAGCGTTAAATTTGATTGTTTCCAATGGAATACCCCCAGGCAACGGGCACCCCAAATTCAACAGGCTCACAGTGCTCACAGGTCATCAAGCTTTTTCAAAAGCCAAGGTTGAGTGCAAGCACCGACACCGGAACTCGGGGTCACCTGCCCAAAAAACACACACACTACCTACGTGGATCTACAGCTAGGACACCCCGACAGGAAGGTCCTCGGTCTGGCCCCAACATGCCCCAATGGATGCTTCAAACCAAGATGCCAGGGAAGAGGGATAGGAGGAAGTGGCCCAACATGTTCACCATGACCTCAGGGAAATGCTTCACGTTCGTTTCGGGAGGGTGAGTCGGGTGAGTTAATAAGGTATATGTTAAGTTGTTGGGTTGAAGGTGCATGCAAGAGTTGAACCCAAATGGTGGACCCAAAATGATAAATATGCATTGGCATAATATATATACTGTGTAATGTATACAATTGGCATGTTTTAAATACCAGTCAAACCTGAAAACCACGAAAAGAAATCTTTTTAAAAAAAGAAATCTTTTCCGGAAATAGTTTTCTTTCTCCGGGTTCTCCGGGTTAGTCCGGGTATTCCTTTCTTAGTCCGGTTTTTCTTTTCTTGGTCCGGTTTTTCTTTTCTTTTCACTGTTTTCTATTAGTAGGTGGTGTCTGACCCCTACCGGATGTTGAAACACTCCCATGGCAACCCTGGCCCTCGTGCATGTTTTTCCACCAGGTTCACTGTGGTCAAGTCCGCCACAACCGCCATAGAGACGTCAAGTATACATCCAACATCCTGTGGATGGTTGACTTTGGTGAAACACGTCGGCTGTATCGGGCAAGTTGCCCCACAAAGCCCTCATCCATCTGGCAGTTGTCACACATCGGCGACTCCTGCCAGGTCAACTTCTTTGCATCCAGCTCCATGTTACGGAAGGTGTGCACAAGCATGTGGAATTTCGAATGTAGAGGGAAGCGGGGCTCACCACGTTCAAGAGATTCTGTCGCCAACGCCCTGTAGCCTCTGCAGGCACACAGCCCATCAGCAGCAATGCCAGCGGCTTCATCATCTCGGAGCCAAGCGCCAGCGCCATACAGCTTGCGCATGCAAGAGTTTATGCTTTTTGCCACAAGCAATATCAAGGCAAGGCGCCTGTCAAGCAGCACCAGCTCCGCGCGATCAGGCTGCATCAAAGCACTTTCAAGGAATTCCTCAGCAATTGAACTCGGGACGCACTTACCAACCAAAACCGCGGAACAAAGAACATGCATGGATACGAGATCAAAGAACAAGCGTCGCACAGCAAAGTTGTCGTTGAACCCTTCTGCCAACCTCCCTCAGGCCAATCCAAAAACGCTGTGTAGCCACAGATCTCCTTTGTCGGTTTGCTCAAAGGAGGCTTGACTTTCTTGAGGCGGCAAAAGGCTCTCCACGAACACGTCATGCCAGCAAAGCCATCGTGCAAAGATTCTTCATTCCAAAGGCTGCGGACTACTTGGTGGTTCATTTTTGGCTAGGGAACTTGTAAGTATCTTGTAAGTGGTTGGTAACTTAGTTACGAAGGGGTTACAAGTTCTGTAACTAGCACAAGTTTTTATGTTAAGATGTGGCACTTGCAAGTTAGTTAGCAAAAGTTAGAAATTTCTAAGTTCTATATCTAGATTATCAAAACTAGTCAAAAATAAGTTATAACTAACTTAGGGAACTTAACTTTTTTGAGATATAAAATTTCAAGTTTTTCTAATTTACACCAAAACTGATCAAATCGTGCTTTTTTTCGCACTTTGATTCTTAAACTTGAAATCGAGTTCATGCTCCGATCGCATGTTCATCACGCAGCTCACTGAGCCGTATGCCGTCTTGTCATGGTCATGGCTGACTCATGATGGATGTTGCTCCGGTATAAAAAACATGCGGCTCATTGAGCCGCAGGTTGTGTCTCTTGCAAAAAAATATACATTGAACCGCGTGCCATCTTGAGCAGATGATGGATGTCGCTCTTGTTTCAATAATAGACTCATTGAGCCGCAGGTCGGGTCTCACGCACTAAGCCATTTGCCTTCATCTTTCGCCATGCCTCATAGGCATCAACCACCATCTCCGCCGTGTAGGTCTCCGGCCGATTGGACAGCAGGATGGTCCCGTCCGCCAGGATGCAAAACCCGCAAGGTGGCCGCATTGCCTCCAGCTGCTCCGCATACGTCATCCTCCTAGGCTGCACAGGCTCCATCTTCAGCAGTACCGGCAGCTGAGGACGCGTCGCATGAGCAGCACACACTTGGAGCCAGCAAACGCCAGCAAACAAAAAGCATTGTTGCACTCAATCAGCAAAGCTCTCAATCAGCAAAACTTAAATCCTGACTCCTGGATTTTTTTAAAAAAATCAGGGAGTCAGGAAATGTCTAAACTCATGAGGTGGTGGGGTTGGCAACTCTGAGATGAATTCTATTTGATAAAAGCTACTCGCATGACAAGCAAAATGCTTAAAAGTCAGAAATTGAATTTATACATTTTTATACATTTTTATACATGTATAAATCGATTTCGTTATCAATTTATACATGTATAAATTGAAAATGGGGTGATTTATACATGTATAAATTGATATTTTTTTGATTTATACATGTATAAATTTAGGTCCGCTTTGATTCATACATTTTTATACATTTTTATACATTTTTATACATTTTTATACATTTGTGATTCCGTGATATGTGAAAACAATCGGCTAGTCAAATTTTATGTGTGTGAAAGTTGTTGGTCAGCAACCCGAATATTTAGATATATCAGGTGAAGCTATGGTAGTTCTGTTTTGAATGGTTCAATGGCAAATGAATCAAGGTTTATGTTTGATGCACTGCTTTTCAAGGACTAGTACTTTTGGTACAGGACCCTTTGCATAAGGTCCAGAGTATATGGTATTTTTCCACTGGGGCCGCCAGCCAACACATCTGGGCGGCCCAATGGGCCGCCAGCCAACCTAGATCTAGCCCATCAATTGACCAACACATCTGGGCGGCCCAATGGGCCGCCAGCCAACCTAGATCTAGCCCATCAATTGACCACCAGCCAACCTATATGTAACCCCTGTATATTTTTCAAAGGGTTGAGCTGAATCCAGCTGAAGAAACAATCATTGAACATCAGTTGCCATTGAAGTTCAAAGAACAAGAGCAGTTTTGGTAGACATGACCAGCCTGTGCGCAGAACATGTTCGGATGAGCGTGGCCAACATCATGGTTGTCATGCCTTAGTTTGAGAAAGATGCAGACTTCCAGCTTGAGGTGTTGAGGGAGTGTTTGCTATGGCTGCGCTTCATGCGGTCTGACACGAAGGCACGTGGATCTGCAAACGAACACTTAGTTTTTCTCACAGCTGCCTGCCCATCTCAAGAAGAACATTTAGGTTTTCTAATTTTTTAAAAAACTTGTCTGAGACTATACTTTTGGTCGTCCAGGAACTTACAGAACTTATAAGTTAGTTACA